TGTCTTGTTTCAAATTTTGTCTTTGAGCAAATTTGCTTTCGTTAACGGAATGTATACTCACTTTTATCTTTTTTCTTGGTTGATAAAGATTAATGATTATGAAATGAGTCGTACTATTCCAAACCAACAGGTTCTCGCGAAACTGGAACGAGTGCTTGGCGTCAAATTACGCGGTAAAAATAGTAAGTATTTATTTAGCACATTATTGATCATTTTTTCCTTTCTTTATATGTTAACTTTCTTCGATTTGATTTTTAGTTGGCGAACCTCTTCATTCCAAGTGAAATTTGTTCGTGTATATTATCGAAAAGAACAATCCATTTTATCTAGTCGATTTCATTTTATTCACTCAATTGAGTACAACGGAATGACCTTTTTTACATTAGCGTGCGCGCTAAAGTTTGTATTAAAAAATCTTTCTTGTATAACAAATTTTCTTGGAAGGTCATGGTCGTGATTGTAATCTTAGCATCTAACGAGTAACTAGTATTGCCTTTTTTTTTTTTTTTTTTTTAAAGCACATGTGTTTACCTAAAACCTCGTTTCTTTAGCTTAAATAATTTTTTAAGATATTGATTTTATCTTCTCTGCACACATTTAGTTGGTTGTATGTAATAGCAAAAATGCATAACAGAAACCATAACTAAATAATAAAGGATGTGCAAATTATAATTTATTATCTATTATTCCGTATTACTTATTCTATTACTCATTCTATATTGCTTATATCTTTTTCGTTAGCTTTGTTAACTTTTTCTACCATTTGCCTTAACAAACTTGTCACCTTAACAATATTCTTTCTATACTTTGCCGATATCGGAACAATCTCAAGCATTTGTCCGTTTTCTACTTCGAATTCCTTTGCTTTGCTTAATATAATGGGTAAATTTCGTTTAGCTCTCTCAGTAATATCAGCTTTATTAGCTACTACCAACGATGGCTTTTCTGTCAATCTTTTTTTATATAATTCGAGTTCATCTCGCAATACTTTCCAATCTTCCCACGGAGTGATTCCCGATAAATCAATAACATATACTAAAATTCTGGATCTTTCAATGTGTCGAAGAAACGAATGTCCGAGTCCAATGTTTTTGTGAGCACCATGAATTATACCAGGTATGTCTGCAACTGTTAATTGATACCTATCCGCATAATCCACTGTACCAATAAATGGATTAAGAGTCGTAAAAGGATATGGGGCAATCTTGGGATGCGCATTAGAAATGGCTGTTAGAAATGTAGATTTTCCTGCATTTGGAAGACCTACAAGACCTGCATCTGCTATTGTTTTAATTTCAAGTTCAAGGAATCTATGTTGTCCCTCTAAACCTCTTGTCGCAAATTTCGGTGATCGATTTGCATTTGTTTGGAAATAGGGGTTTCCCCTTCCACCCGAACCTCCATGCGCGACGATATATTGTACGTTTGGCACAGATAAATCTAACGTGAGTTTATTTTCTGTATCTTTTTTTTTTTGCAATTGACGTAACTGATATTCTTCTTCAACCATTCTCTCGGCTTCGAGAAAAAATGTACTGCGCGGATTTTTTTCATCGTATTTTGGGTAATGGACCCATGTAGCTTTACGCCGTTTCTCAATCAATGTTTCTTCATTAATTTCATTAATTTCATCCTCATTTATTATTGTTTTTCTCTTCAATGATGGTGGCTCAATTTCTTTAATAACCGTTCCTAAAGGTATTGGTATTGTTATATCTTTACCAGCTGATCCATTTCTCATATTTCCTTTTCCATTTTCGCCTCTACCACCAACGAGCTGCCTTTTAACTGAATGTAACGATGAGTGATTTGCCGATGCGACAAATATTATGTGACCACCTCTACCTCCATTGCCACCTGAGGGTGGACCTCGTGACTTAAATTTTTCACGCAAAAATGCTACACAACCATCACCGCCATTGCCTCCCTTAACTGAAACTTGCATATAATCTACGAATTGCCGTGTCTTAATGGAATAGATTTTTTATTGTTTTTAGTCATAAAAAGATATAATCGGCATTAGTTCACAGATCCGGACAAGCTTTTTCGAAATTAACCGATGCTGAATAATCATTTTCATAAATGGGTTATATCAGATGTGTGTAAATTGATTAACGGATAGTAAAAGCTTATCCGGATCCAAGCTATAAATATTATTATAACCAAGTTTTAAAACGCAATAATAAACCTTATCTCGGAATTTGTATTGTAAACTTCGGTCAACTATTCTGATGCTTGGCTTCATTTCATTATTGCCGTCCGATAATTTAAAAGTTCTTTTCAAATTAGTAATTATTAAAAAATGCTTTTATGTGATAATTTTTTATGATCGAGCCGAATAATGAAGATTATATCCGGTAAGTTTGTTACCGAAATACTGTATACCTGCGTAGAGATTTAACAGGTACGCATGTGGTCAAAAGTTAGTACAGTGCTAATTTGGCAAATATGGGGCATGCCATTACACAGTTGGCATGGGGCATGGACCGATCAAGGGTTAATCTTGACTTGACCAATTTGATCGATTTTGACTGGTTCAGTCCAAGAGTTTGATGGTCAATTATATATCTGATATCGATATCAGATATAAGATTTTAAGATTGTTAATTAACCAATAAAATTTGTATTCCACTTTTACCAATGAAAGCTCGCACTACATTAACACAGGATAACCGACGATAGAATTAAAGTATTAACAGTATATTTTTGGGACATTGTGCGTAATTTAGGGCATATCAATATACATAAATTAGAACAGTATAGGAACAGGGTTGGATCGGTTTGGTCCGGTCCTAATAGGACCGATCAATTAGTGTTATTGGTTAGGTCTGGTCCGGTTCTTCGGTCCTTAAAACAGTCTTTAAATCACCGCAATTATGATGTTTTTCTAATTTGTATATCCTATAGCGATAGATGAAATCGTAATTAAACAGGCTATATTATTGAATGATTTTGATTAGCGGTCCGAACCGGTCCAGACTGGTTTAAGACCTAGGACCGAATAAGCTTCAGTCCCGGTTCAAAGACCGGTCCAGACCGGTCTTTGCAAGGACCGATCCAACCCTATATTAATATAGGAAATTTTTGAAAAGTAAGCAATGAATTAAAGAAGATAGATGTTAGTCAGAAAGATTCTATAATCTAAATTATTTCTTTTTATAAATTTAGTAAATTTAGTACAATTTTTCTTGCTTAGTTGTGGAATAAAGTTAACATCTTTTTCTAGTTTAGCAATTGATAAATTTGTTTCTCTTTTTGACTGACTAACATTAGTTGAAATCAAAAATATCAGTAAATATCGGTATCTGATATATGACTTATACGTAACTTACATGTAGCCAAAAGCTAGTCTATATTTTATAATTTTTAATAAGCCAATATAAGCAGTTGGCTATAATCGGTTAAACGACCCGAACTGAATAAATTCCGGCTAACCAATTGAGGAAATTCTTAATCGGTTGACCCGATACAACCGGTTGAGAATTGGGTAATCGGTTGGCAGGTTGATATAATATAGTAGTAAAGGTTCCGAAAAGTTTCGAAAAGAACATAGGTTGAGGCAAAAATTTGAAGGTAGTACAGTAGTAGAGATATTAATCTTAATCAACTGGCAACCGGTTGAATGAAATAATTCGGATCGGTTAACCGATTAAGGAAATTTTTCTTAGTTCAAATCACTAAGCTAACTTTAGATTACATATAAGTTACATATAAGTTATATATTAGATGCTGATATTTTACTAATATTTTTGATTTTAACTAGTATAAAACATAGAATATAACTATTTTAACTACTGATTACATATTATAAATTTAACCACCTGGTTAAATATTATAAATTTAACCAGTAGTTAAAATTAGTTATATTCTATTTTTTTTTTTTTTTTTTTTTAATTGGATAATCCTGCCTTTTTACTTTATTAGAATTATAATAACTATTGCTGCTTATTACAACAGTATATAAATTATCTAAAACTGTAAGAAAGACTCACTCAATACTGAAGTACCCAGGTGCAACCTGCTATATCTTTGTTGGGTCTTAAACTAAACTTGAAACTTGTTTTTCAACATCATTGATCAGTTGTTAATGCTGTGTCAGGATCATACTCCTTTCCTTAAAATTTTTTCTTCTTTATAAAGAGCAAAATGAAAATGGAGAAAAGTATAATATACTACCAAGAAGATGAAAAACTAATATAAAGAAAAAAACCAATACAAAAAAAGAAAAAACAGAAAAAAAGAAAACAGATGCTGACAAAAGGAAAAAAGAAAAAAAAAATAACAAAAGAAAAAGTATTAAAACTGACAGAAAAATATTTAAAAATTATATAATACTCTTCAGTTTAGCTCTACTCTAAACTAAGTCTATATTATATATAAAATTACATTCGAGTAGAGTTGGTTCTACAAGAATTTTCTAGAATAATCTTCAATCGATCAATGCCAGTTCTTGTTCTACACATAAGTAGCCATGTGATTTCTCATAACTTCTGTTCTCAATTTGAAATTGATAAACAATACAAATCTTTTGGAAAGGATATGCTGATTTTCTCACTTTTTGCTTGGCAAAAATATTCTCTAAAAAACTCCAAGAGAAGTAAGAATATGTTGAGATGTTTTGGAGTCATGTTCTTTAAATTTTCAAAAAAGTGTATTAAAAAATTTATTTGCTATTCCCTTTGTAAGCTATATATAGCTAACTTTGTCGATGAAAGATTTCTTTTTTCAAAATTTTGTATACAAAAGCTTTCTTTTCTGCTAGTTATTTTGTATACTAATGTTTTTGGTTTGCAACTAAATATATAAAGGAGTTTCCAAGATAAGCAAAACTTGGCTAATCTTTATAAAAACTATTACTATATATACTTCTTTATCTAACTTTAGCAAAATTCTTGTTTTTCATTTATAGAAAATTTGGTATAAGTAATTATCAGGAAGAGTTAAATATTATATTCTATTATTGATTTAACTAAATAGTTAAATTAATATATTTTAAGATTTGATCAGCCTGTTTAATAACAAAACAATGATATAATTTGGTTGGCATTTAAATATTACATTGCTTAAATTTTCGGGTTGTCCTTTTTATTATCACTTACCTGTTATGTCTAAATAGTTCTAACAAGAAAATCTATTTAACATAAATCAATATATTGCTTCATTATTCTGATTTGATTCAAATTGTTGGTTATACATTACTTTTATTTTCATTTTCCTATATTATTTTTCTCTTACTTTCTAATCACTTAAATACTACTTTTTACTTTTACTTTTCTGATTAGCTTTACACTACTTTTTGTTTTTATCTTTCTGATCTTTATATACTACTTTTGCTTTCTAATTTTTATATATTACTTCTAGTGTTTACTTTCCTAATTACTTATATACTACTTACACTTTTCTGATCTGTTTTATATTACTTTTTGCTTTTACTATTTAATATCTTTCACTTTCACTTTACATCTACTTTGCTTTTACTCTTCTAATCTCTTTTATATTACTTTTTGCTTTTACTTTCCTGATCATTTATATATTACTTTATGTTCTCTAATCATTTTATACTACTTTTTGCTTTCACTAAACTGTATTTTCACTTTTCTGGTTTCTTGTATTGTGTTTTGTTTTTACTTTACTAATCACTTATATACTACTTTTCACTTACTTTTCTGATTGTTTTTTTTCAATTAGCTAGCTATTACTTTTTTGAAAAAAAAATTGCCTTGTATTAATCATTGCATTTTAATAATCCTAATTTATTATTAATCAAGACTCTCTTTAATCAATTATTTTCCTATATATAATGGAGTTTATACTGATTTATATTTGTCCTTTGAATATTATTCTCTTCCTCTTTTATTTGAAGCTGATTTAGATTATAAAGAATATGAAGTTGAACCTAGTATTGTTATGAATAATTATAATGATGAAAATGAAATTAATAATATTATTGTCACAGATAATCATAATAATAAAAACAAAATTAACAATATTACTATCTTGGATAACTATAATGAAAATAAAATTAATAATATTTCTAATACTCATAATGAAAAAAGAGATGATTTAGATTATAAAAGTGAAGAATTATATGTACTAAAATTAGCTGAGGGCATGGAATTCAGAACATGGAAAATTGCTAAGATATATCTTAATGATTATACCAAATAAGAAGGATTTTGTTTTTGTAAATGACATTGTTTCACTAATCTAACTAATAATACTATAGCATGTTGTTGAACTTATGAATGCTCTCAAGTATATACATATCAGGCTGAAAAGATTGTTTTAATGGAGAATAGAAGAGAAAGAAAATCAGAGATAATTAGTTATTCTTAGTATATCAATTTACCATTTTCTAAAACTGCACTTGAAGTTCGAATAAACATCATAGTAGACAAACACAATTACCTTATAAACCCACTAATTATTGAAACTGCACTAAAATTTTGTTATCTAACTAATAAAATATTTAAAAAAAATTGAATTTTGGACTATTAAAGAGTAGCTAAGTATAATAGCACAATATAATTTACTAAAAGTATCATTTTCCAACAAACTAATAAACAAAAAGGACTTGAGCAACATGATACAACGTTATAAAAAGCAGCTAAAGCCTTCAAAAATAATGCATATCAAATCTTAACAGATTTGAATTTAAAAAAAATAAAAATCTATCATGGATAGTGAAACCAAGATTTAATTCTGATAAGAAAAGATTGATAGTATTATTTTGGATATCATTAACCCAAATACATGCTTATAAAAGGTTTTATAATATTGTAATCATTGATACAACATCTAAAACCAACTAATTTGATATAATCTTGCTTTTAGTTATAGTTATTGATAATAACTTTTGGAATCTAATAGTTGTAGTGGCTTTTGTTGAAAGATAAAACTAAAGTAATATTTGTCTGGGTTTTAGAAGAATTGAAAACAGCTTGT